CACACTGTTCTTCACAAGGAATGATCACATTCCTTGCAATTCCTGGAACAGTCAGATCCTGAGAAATGTCACTTAGAGGAAGGGGGCAGAATCTGGGAATAGGGAGGCCAGGAATTTGGATAGTCCCCCTGCCAAGGTGTGGCCAGGCCATCAGCGATCTGTTGAACAGATTGCAAGCCTCATGACCCCAAATCCTTCATTTCAAAGCTTTGGGCAGTATATGTTGGGGCTGCTTGGGGTGAGAAGGCGGTCGCCTACTGCCTGGCCCTGGTCCCACACCACCTACTCCAGGGAACCAAGCTGTGCTGTGACACAACCATGAGACACAGAGCTACCCTTGGGAAAAAAAGGAAGAATAAAACCGAGCCCAGGAAACTGGGAATCTTACCCACCCCTCTGGAATCCATGCACTCATTAAGCACCTGCAGCTGAGTTTGGGCTGGACCTAAAAATTTTTTTCTAATAAACAGAATATGGCAAAAATGATGGGATGTCACTTCTGAGAATAGGTTACAAAAATACTGGCTTCTATCTTGAATGCTGTCTCATGCTCATGTTCATGGAAATCAGCTGCCTTGTGACCTGCTTACCGAGAAGACAACAGAGCAAGAAACTGAGGGAGGGCTCTCGCCAACAGCCAGCAAGGAAATAACAAATTAGCCCAATAGTCTCCTGCTTGTGTACATGACCTTGAAGAGATTCATTTCCAGGTAGGCCTTCAGGTGACACAGCAGCCCTGGACAGCATGACGGCAAGTCACAAGACCTTGAGCTAGAGATACCCAAGTAGGATATGTCTCATTCATGACCCACAAAAACCAAGATATAATTAATTTCTCTTTTCAACCCACTAAATTTGGGGAAATTTGTTATGTACCAATAGAGAACTAAAACAGGGACTTACCCAGTGAGGACACAAGTGCAAAGTTCTCTAGCATCACATCACGATACAGGCATCTCTGAGCCTCCTCAAGGAGCTCCCACTCCTCCCGGGAGAAGTACACGAACACGTCCTCGAAGGTCACACAGCCCTACTATGATGAGGACAGTTGAGCCCACAGTCAACAGGACTCCCCAATCTGTCTGCTCACATACCCAGCTCCTGGTCCCTCTCCTCCCAGCCTCCCAACTCAGAGACACCAGGCCTCTGATCACTGTGTCCAGCCCAGAACAGAACCAAGCAAGTGGGCAGACAGATATTCTGTAAGCTATGGGTCTGGCAGGAAGGGCCCTAACCGCCATCCTGCCCGTCAGTTCTCCTGCTGTCATCCAGAGCATGCCTCCCAGACACAACTTTAAGGCTGTCAGTTCACACTCCTCTCTTGTCTCCCTCCCTCCTGTCTCATTTCCAGTCTCCAATCCGCAGCCAGAAGAAACCTGTTGAATAAAATTTGTGTTAAATCATCTCTGTTCTCTGATCCAAACTTTCAGAAGGGACGCTTTGCTCCTTGGGCTACTATTCCAGGCCAGGCTTCTGCCTCACTGCTGTCTGTTTCCATAACAGTAACCCTGATCGTTCCAAACTCAGTCTCACCTCCAAGACTTTGTACATGCCTGTTACCATAACTGGGACACCTTTCCGAACGTTATTTCATCCACACAATCTTTGGCTTGGACTCAGGACTCTGGTCCAGAACTGACCTCCTCCAGGACAGAGAATCGAGAGACGGAAAGGTTGAGACCTAGGACACCACCATCAGCTATGAGGAGCGGTGACGAGGGTATGTGAGGGTGAGGCCCAGGGACCCTCCACTCACCTGCGCGGTATTCATCAGCGCTGCCACCCACGCCTCTGCCACCGGGCCGAATGGGCTGCTCGGAGCCCTGCGTGGCGGGCGACCAGGGTGGGGTCACCTCCTGCTGCGTGCCGCACTCCGAGCCTCGCTAGAAGAGGGTGTAGCACGTTCACAAGGCCCAGGCAACCTCTTTCGGGTGTCGGGGCGCCGGATCGCTGAAGCCCCGGGCAAGCACGAGGCACGAGGGCTCCCGTCTCACAGTCGCGGACAGTCTCTGGGAGTCAGAGCAGGCGCCAGGAGTCACAATCGCATGGGAGCGGGGACGGCCCAGCCACGTCACCCTCCTTTCCTGCTCGGCTCCAGAGCTGCCCCCTAACGCAGCACTCCCATCCACGCGGTCCAGGTCCAACCAGCAATTGCGCGCGACAGGAAGTACTCCCGAGGCAAGGCCAGAAGTCCCGCCCCACGCTGCAGGAAACTCCCCTCTCCTAGGCTTTCACTGGCCCAGAGCTCAGGCGAAAGCATGCATGAAGCATCTCCTTCTGGGTAATCAACTCTATTCCGTGTCTACGCGCATGTGCTGTTTCCCTTCTCCATATCAACCGACAGGCGGCGGTATTGGAACAGGCTAGGGAACTAAAGCTCCAGGTTTCTGAACACCGGCGGTTCTCGCTTCCTCTTAAAAATGCCCAAATCTCCACAGGCACGGAGGCAAAGCCTGCCCTCAGTTATGTAACGGTAGGATCAGGGAACCTGTTAGAAGTGCAAGCTCTGTGGCCCCACCCAGACCTAGTGAATCAGAAACGTTGGGGACCGAATGCAGCACAGCTTTACGGAATCCTCTGGTAGCTCACTTAAGATTGAGAACCATGGCGCTAATGTGACTACAATGGGAAATATAGGGTCGTCGGGAAAGTCATGACACATTTTTGCATTGAAAAACAAAAATACATCATGACTTTCCTGATGACCTAATAGTCTCTCATGGGAATGCACATAAAAATTTCTTTTCACATAGTGCTCAATAAATTAATAACTACACTAATTCCCCAATCAGTGGTTTTGCTTTCTGCAGTTTCAGTTAACCGTGGTTAACCAGTCTGAAAATTTTAAATGGAAAAGTCCAGGGCCGGCAGTGGCACATTTGTTAAGAACTGGCTGGGGAGCACCAGCCCTGAGCAGCAGGACCCAGGTTCAGATCCCCCATGACAGCCAGCATCCTCTACAGCTAAGATGGTGAACAACAGCTCCACCTGCTGCTGGGCTGCTGTGTTGCAGAATGCAAGGCTGCAGTGGGGCTGCAGTGAGCTACCTACCGTGAGTGGCTGGCAACCAGCATGTGCTGCTGTGAGCCGCCATGAGCGGCGGTCCAATGGCCAGCCACCAATCTGCCTCAGCCGGAAAGAGCACAATTATCACAATACCAACATGGGCCAGTGAAGCGACATCCTCCATAACTAGACTGAAGAACAAAAGGACAACTTGTCTGTTCCCCTCCCCCAATAAAATCTTTAAAAAAAAAAAAAGTAAAAGTCCAGAAATAATTCATGAATTTTAAATTGCACGCAGTTCTGAGTAGCATGTTGAAATCTCAACTCGTCCTGCTCCATCCCACCTGGGAAGTGTGAATCATCCCTTTGTCCAGCATATCTGTGCTGTACATGTATGTCTATATAGGAAAAAACATAGTATATATAGTGTTTGGTACTATCCTCCGTTTCAGGTATTCACTGGGGGTCTTGGAAGTATCCCCCACATATAAGGGGGACTACTAATATTAATATTGTCATTAGCGTTAACATCACAATGTTTTTCATGTGCTATGGGAGGTGAAGTTGGGGACGTCTCTGCAGGATCTTTGACATTATCTATCAAAACAAAAAATACAATGATTCCCTGACTCAGCAGGTAGTCTCATAAGTTTTGATTTTTACATAAATGCACACATTTATACTATTTGGTTTACTTAGTTATTTTTCTTGTTTTTAAAGATTTTATTGGGGAGTTGGGGAAGGGGAACAGCCAAGTTGTTGTCCTTCAGTCTGAGTTGTGGAGGGCGCAGCTAGCTCAGCTCCAAGTCCAGTTGCCATCCGGCGGCCTGTTGCTCGGGTGCAGCTCACTGGCCCATGTGGGAATTGAATCCAGCGACCCTGTTGCTCAGAGCTCACGCTCTTAACCAACTGAGCCACTCAGCCGGCCCTATTTAGTTATTTCTTAAACAGCACAAGAGGGTTCCTTAAACTACAGGTAGGCATGTTGCCCAAGAGATTGCAGGCCACACAATTCAGATCTTGGGAAGCTCTCAGGCTTAAGTGGATAGCGGAGTTGACAAGGTTTCACATTTGTAACATAGAATGACATGTCATCTAGTTCACAGTAACCAGGACCTCCCTTGTCCCCTCCTTCATCTCCTTTTGACCCTCAGGGGAGGTAGATCCAGGTATACATATGTGATCATGAGATGGCCCAGCCTGAAGCTCAGAGGCTTCAGGTCATCAGGTCCTGTCCTCATCAAAACACCATCATCAGCCCATCACCTGAACTTGCAGCCCCCAAGGCAGCACTAAATCCTAGGGAGGTATAAAATGTAGAATCACTAAGGAGATCCCCAGAATGGTGCACAAATACAAGAACAATTCATACACAACTTCACAGTCATTTCTGCCTATATTTAACTGGCTGCAATTCATTCACATGGTCCCAAATTAAGTGTAAGGAAAGCTGAGAAGTGGTTCTGCCAGGTCTCCAGAAAAAGATGGGATTGGTAAGCATCCAGCCAGCTTATGTCACAATCCATCAATGTAGCCGCCAGATGTATATTTTATTATTTCTCCTATGTATTCTATACTGTCACCCTTTTATTATTACAACTCAAAACTTGATCTAATTACTGAGCTTATCTCACTGATGACAATCTCTAAGGTGTGTTGTCCTTTGCATCAGGTTCAAATACTGTTCCTTATCATCAGGAAACTATCAACACAAAAGAGTTTCCACTCACACCCAATATATAGTGGGTCAGGGACATAAAGAAAGAACATACTGATGGTCCTGAAGAAATTATTGTCAACAAAGATTTCTACGTTCAATAGTGTTTTTCAAGAAAGAGCATACAATAAGATTATATGTGGCCAAAAATGAAAAATGTAATAGAAAACTAACCCACAGAAAATGAATGGTAAAGGTTACATTTAAGGTCAAAGGGAAGTGACCAAGTGAAAGGTCTGCAGCAATAGAAGGAATAAAGATCCAAAAAGAATGCATCTGTGGATAATACAATTATTCATTATCTGTATAAAACAAACAGTATCTCATTGTTGAGTACAATGATAGAATTACCATGTGATCCTCAATAATATCCCTTATATTGTGCAAGAGTAAGGGGAAGGTATTAACTCTATGCTCATTTATGTTAAGGACAAGTGTTATAATTTTAGCTTAAACTTTAATAGGCGTACATACACTCCCAACTAAAAGCAAAGTTTAGAATGTAAACTATCTACACAAAGTTTTAAAGAAAAGTACAAGAAGCAGAACTGAAGCAAAGATAAGCATAAAACAGAAAGATGCATTTAAACTCAAATATACCAGCTATCATATGAAATGAGTATGGAATAAGTATTTGAATTAGTAGTCAGTAACTTTGGTGGGTTGAAAAATATCCAGCAATATTCTGTTTATAGTCACATTTCTAAGACATAATGTTACAGAAATAAAAGAAATAACACCAATTCTATAAAATCTCAACAAGAAAAAAAAAAGGAGGAATACTTCCCAGTTCATTTTTGGAGGTCAGTATTACTAAGACACCAACACCACTATAAAAAATATTAGACTACAGACAAATATGCACATGATTTTAGACACAAAATTCCCCAACAAAATGCTACCAAACGGAATGCTGTTTATATATATATATATATATATATATTGCAATTATATTTCATAACTTGGTAGGGTTTATTACAGGAATGCAAGGCCAGTTCAACATTCAAAAACCAGTCAAAGCAATAGGCCATAGGAAAAAAAAAATCACATGATCACATCAATTGAAGGAGACAAGTACTTAACAAAATTCAACATCCATTCATAATGAAAGCTCTTATCAGATTAGGAGGAAAACTTTCCAAACTAAAGAACATGTGTAATAAAAACCTGCAGCTATCATCTTATTTAACGGTCAATATTGAATGCTTTCTCTCTAACATTATGAACCCAAGTGTGTCCTCTTTTACCACCTGTATTCAACACTGTACTGGAAGTTCTAGCTGGTATGATAAAGACAGGAAAAGGAAATGGAAGGGTTCCAGATTAGGAAGAAGAAATAAGATGTTCACTATTTGCTGGTAACATTGTTTATGAAAAAAATCCCAAGGAATCTACAAAAAAGAAAAAAGAACAGTGGCTAGAACTAATAAGTGAATTCGGCAAGAGCGTAAGATACAAGTTCAATATATAAAAATCATATTTCAGTATAACAGTAATGATCATGTGCAAATTGAAATTAAAAACTCAGTACTGCATATAATGACTCAAAAAATAAGTGCCTAGATAAAAATCTAACAAAATATATTCAGGCTCTATAAACTGAAAATTACAAAACACTAGTGAAATAAATCAATGAGGATTCTACATAAATGGAGAGGCATACCATGTCCATGAACTGGAAGACTCAATACAAGAAAGATTCCAAATCTCACCAAAGTAACCCACAGATTAATTTCTACCAAAATCCCAGCAAGGTATTTTGTAAATACAGATAAGCACATGATAAAAATTTATATGGAAAGCCAAAGGAAAAAAACTGATATGGAAAGCTAAATTAATTTTTAAAAAGAATATGGAGGATCCATTTTATCCAATTTTAAGACTTAGTAATAGCTACAGCAATCAAGATAATGTTGTACTGGCAGAGGTTAAGATACACTAATCAATGGGATAATATAGAGAACTCAGAAACAGACTAGCATGAATATATCCACCTGATTTTTGGCTAAGGAGTAAATGCAATTCAATGGAGGCAGGATAGTCTTTTCAACAAATGGTGCTGGAAGAGAATATCCTTAGGCAAAAACACAAGAAACTCAACATAAATGTAACATGGCAATACAAAAATTAACATGAACCAGAGATTTAAAATAGATAAAACTATAAAACTTTTAGAAAACATAGAAGAAAATATTCCAGACCTAGAATTTTCTGAAGACTTCTTAGACATGACATGAAAAGGATGAAGAAAGGTTTTCACGATAATGCCATGGGTAAATACAACAAAAATGGGCCTACAATGACAAAACTACATACGTCCTCATTTAAAAGGCCCTGAGGAGGGTTCCAAGTGAATACGTGATATTTATATCTTTCCCTACAGTATATTTCTTAACATGAGGTAATACTATCACATGTAGCTCAAAAAAATATCAAAGATGGAATTCCAAAATGCCCTGATAAAGATACTAGTTATTAGTCTATATCAAGATTAAGTCTATGGTGACAACTGTGCCAATCACACACAACTACATGTACACATGCCCATTTCATCTGTTAAAATTCTAGTTAATTAAACAGTGAATCTTCAATCTTTTGCAAAGTTAAAAATGAGATGCCTTCTCTATGTGTTTTTCTGACTTTATTATTATTCTTTAGCTTGACTTAGCCATGTTTTATTTTATTTTCACTGGTTCAACCCCTATAAAATTGTTGAAGTGGAAGCGTCTCTAAGGAGGATTGAAGAAGCTCAGAAACCACTATCAGAGGTAAGAATTAGGTTTTATCTGGGAAGGTCACTCAACAACTGTCATCCTCACCTCACAGAAAAATAGAGAAAAAAATAAGTAGATCAAGATGAAGTATGAGTTTTTGAGTGGTTGAAGACACATGAAGAAACATCATGATTTTCAAAATTCAAGCAGTCTTAAATGTACAGTAAAATGGACCCATTCATAGACATATAAAAGCAGTTCATCACTCAAGACTTATCCTGCTCAAAGGCAGGGACAATACTGTAGAGCACAGAAGGCTTTTCTTTCCATTCATGTTTTCAGACATACTCGCAACTAACTCTCCCAATACTGAACAGAAGTGAAGGTATGTAAAAGAAAAAGGGACAAGACCCTCTGATCTCCGAAACAATACTCCCCTTTCCCCAGATAAACTAAGGAAGGGATAACAAATTGCCGTAGGCATTTGTTTCTTCTATGTCTCTTCTCCTTTATTTAAATTTCCCTGAGATAATTTTGCAGTACAAACTAAGGAGGAGGATGTGGCTGGCGGTTTTGCTAAGTGCACAATAAAGATTGGATCACTTTCCTGGATGAATTCTCGGATGTTGAATGAAATTCTAGGCTGAGTCAATTTCTAACATGACTCGTTAGATGACAACTGATATCCTGCAATAAAAGGTTTTCTCACAGAGAAGAAAATTGTGGAATTGCTCTTTGGTATGAATGAGTAGATATTTCTTCTGGCAAAACATTTTCCTCAGTGGTTACATTCAAAAAGTCTTTCCCCAAAAGGAGTTCTTAGAGGTTGACTGCAGACTGCCCACTTGTGAAGGGTCTTCCCACTTCTGATACACTGACAGGGTTTCTCCCAGAATGCATCCTTTGATGCTGACTCAGGGATGAGCTGCGACTAAAGGCCTTCCCACACTCATTGCACTCATAAGGCTTCTCCCCTGTGTGGATGACGGCGTGTCGAATGAGGCTTGTGCTCCAGCAAAAGGATTTCCCACACTCCATGCATTCATAGGGCTTCTCTCCACTGTGAATCCGCTGGTGCCTCGTGAGGCCTGACCTGCGGTTGAAGGCCTTCCCACACTCACTGCACTCATAGGGTTTCTCTCCGGCATGGATGCTGATATGTCGAATGAGGTCTTTCCTAGTGCTGAAGGCTTTCTCACATTCTTTGCACTCAAAAGGTTTTTCTCCGATGTGGGCCCTTTTATGCAAGATAAAAGTGTAGCAGTACGTGAAGGCCTTTCCACATTCAGTGCACATGTAAGGCTTCTCCCCAGTGTGGATAATGGCATGTCGGATTAGGTTTGCCCTCTGGCAAAAGGCTTTGCCGCACTCCATGCATTCATAAGGCTTCTCTCCGCTGTGAATCCGTTGATGCCTCGTGAGGTATGACCTGCGGTTGAAGGCCTTCCCACACTCACTGCATTCATAGGGCTTCTCTTCAGTGTGGATGCTGAAATGTCGAATGAGGTCTGACCGATTGCTAAAGGCTTTCCCACATTCTTTGCATTCATAGGGTTTTTCTCCAGTGTGGGCCCTTTTATGCAAGACAAAGGTGGAGCAGTGGGTGAAGGCCTTTCCACACTCACTGCACACGTAAGGCTTCTCCCCAGTGTGACTCCGCTGGTGCTGCTTGAGGTGTGATCTGCGGTAGAAGGCCTTTCCACACTCAAGGCACTTATACGGCTTCTCTCCAGTGTGGATGACGTAGTGCTGAATGAGGTCTGTGCTGTCACAAAAGGCTTTTCCACATTCCTTGCATTCAAAGGGTCTCACTCCACTATGAATTTGCTGATGCCACGTGAGGTGTGACCTGCGGTTGAAAGCCTTCCCACACTCCACACACACAAAGGGTTTCTCTCCCGTGTGGATGATGTAGTGTCGAAGGAAACCAGTCTTATCGCGGAAGGCTTTCCCACATTCTTTGCATACAAAGGGTTTTTCTCCAGTGTGGCTTCTGTTATGCAGGACCAGATTGGAGCGGTGGGTGAAGGCCTTTCCACACTCACTGCACACATAGGGCTTCTCCCCAGTGTGGATCCGCTGGTGCCTCGTGAGGTGTGACCTGCGGTTGAAGGCCTTCCCACAATCAAGGCACTCAAAGGGCTTGTCCCCTGTGTGGATCATGTGGTGCTGCAGGAGGTGTGTGCTCTTGCTAAAGGTTTTCCCACACTCTGTGCATTCATAAGGCTTCACTCCAGAGTGAATCTGCTTATGACGAACCAGGAAACACTTCTTGTTAAACACTTTCCCACATTCCTCGCACTTATAGGGCTGTTTCCTTTCATGAATTACGGGATCTCTCACCAGTCCACGTGAGTCTCTTTCACATAGAATGTCTCCAGGAGAGACTGGTTCCTGGACAATCCTGGAGTGCAAACCATCATCTCTCTCTAACCCACCGCATTCAGGGATCACTTTTCCAGAGAGCATCTCCCCCTGGGAGTCAGTCCCTGGTCTCAAGTGGCTTTCCTTAACTTCTGATGGCCCATCCTGACCTTTGCCTTGCCCCACATAGGCGTCCCCTGAGACTCGCTGAGTCCATTGCTCCTGGAGTGAGACATCCTCAGACAAGGCCAGGTGGGAAGGGGGAGGCTGTGTGGTCTCGGGTTTTGTGATATCACCTGAAGGGAACAACAACATACACAAAAGCTTGTTAGTGATGACAACACAGAAGAACTAGGATCACCATTTCAGTGAGAGCAAGAAAATGAAGATAGTGGTCCTGTACCAGCTGTGTTCAATCTCTGAAACCCAGGTTTGCAATTTCTTTTTTTGGTTCTTGGACTCTTGAAACCTTTACAGGGGAAACCCAAAGGGACAGGATGGATGGGGGACAGAGTGTCTGGAGGCTAGAGGTGGGTACAAAGTAATGCACTGAGTTTGCTCAAAGCAAGAACATCTTAAGGTGCTACAAGGGGCCAGCGAAGTGGCACCTAATGCATCCTAGATGGGAGATGGAAAGATCAGGGAGACTTCCCAGGCGGGATGCCTTACGAGTTGAGTCCTACTGGAGTGGTAGAATTGGCCGTATATAGTCAGTGGGAAGGCCATCTCAGCCTGAAGAAACAGAATGAACAAAGGCACAGTCTTCCAAGAATAAGGGAACAACAGTGCATGAGACAATGAGGTTGGTGAGAGTGGAGTCCCCAAGATAGGATTAGTGTCCTTATAAGAAGAGACACGAGAGATCTTGCTTCTTCTTTCTACCATATGAGGCTACAACGAGAAGACTGCCATCTGCAAACCAGGAAGTGGGCCTTGACCAGATCTGCCAGCACCTTGATCTTGGACTTCACAGAAACCAGAACTGTGAGAAACACATGTTTTATTTAAGCTGCCCAGTTTGTGGCATTACTGATAGAGCAGCCCAGACCGACTAAGACAGTAAGGTATGAGTAATATTCTCTTCCATAGGCTGTCGTGAGGGTTTGGTGATGGTAAGCATATTATTTTTAAAAAGACATCAATGAGCAAATAATTTAATTAATATATCAATTAATCAAGGTCCTTCACAAATAAAGGATGACAATGTGTCATAAACTAAGGTTAATGATTAATCAAAATCTGTACCTGAGGTCCACTCAACAAGTTAGAGGTCACATGCGTATTATGGTCAAGATCATGGTCTCTGGCCACAAAAACCGTAGGCCCAAGTTCCAGAAGAACTCATTAGTTTTGTGGTGCCTGGTAAGAGACTCAAATTCTATAAGCCTTCACTTTCTTTTCTAAATAATAAAGTTAAAAATAGTGCCTGCCTTATACACTACATATACAAAGAGTGCCAAAAAAAGGTATACACAATTTAAAAAAGAAAAAAACTGTATTAAAATTGCAATTATACCAATAACAAAAGATGAATACAAGTAGCGTTTGACTTTTGCAATTACAAGAGGTGCTCAAAGTGGTTACCATCAGTGTTATTTTAATATAGTTTTTTCCTTTCTTAAAATGTGTATACCAGGCTGAGTGGCTCGGTCAGTATAAGAGCTTGTTCAAGAGAAGAGTGTGAGCTCTGAGCAACAGGGTTGCCAGTTTGACTCCCACATGGGCCAGTGAGCTGCTCCCGAGCTGAGCTGCTGCTGAGCTGCCAACAGGTGGCAGGATGGCTCAGCTGGTGAGAGCACGTGCTTCTAACAAGGTTGCCTGTTTGAGATGATGGGCTACACCTACCCACAACTAAAGACTGAACTTGGCACCTTGAGCTGAGCAGCCACCCGGGTGGCTCAGGGGATAGAGTGCGTGCTCTTACCAACAAGGTTGCCGGTTCGACTCCCACATGAGATGGTGGCTACGCCCACCTGCAACTAATTGAACACAGCACCTTGAGCTGAGTGGTGTGACTGGACTTGGAGCTGAGCTTGCTGCGCCCTCCACAACTAAGATCAAAGGACAGCAACTTGGTTGTTCCCCCGCTCCAATTTCCCAATACTGTGCCCCTCCCCCAATTTCCCAATAAAATCTTAAAAAAAAAGTGTGGATTAACCTTGGTGAGTATTTAAGAGTCAAAAGAATGGGCCATGTGATGTTTGATGAGCCATTAAAATGGCAACCAGTGTGAGAAGAGAATGAAATGAAGGTCCAGTGAGAATCCATGGAGGCCAAATGCTCCACGTGAGAGTCTGTGCTATGCCATGAGCTCACATGGCATGGAGGTTAAGAGGTCAGCTCTGGAACCAGAACAACGCAGCTCAAATTCTGCCTGTACAAAGTCAGCTGAAAAATTACTTAGTTATTCCCATCTCAATTTCCTCATCTGCAAAACAGAGAGACTCTCTTTCTGCCTCATAGGCTGTCGTGAGGGTTAAGTGCGAAGATGCCTGTAAAGCACTTAGCACCATGCTGGGCACTGTAGGAGCATTCATTAAGCTGTGGGTCATTACCCATCCAATTGTGATCACTCCTGTATTTGAAAATTCGGAGCAAAGCACTGACCTAGAAGGAGCAGTTCAGTGCTGTGGATGGAACAGAGGAAACTCCACATGGGCCTCAAAGAGCAAAGGGAACTGTGTTACCACGAGCTGACGAGGACAGGAAGGGACAGACGGACACACACATGTGAATGGTGGGGATGGGAAAGGGTGCAGACACTGCAACTCTGGCAGTTTCTACTGAAACTGAACATAAACCTACCCCATGACCCGTACACGTACCGGAATAAGTTAACATAAATCAGTGCTTACATATACATCCTGCAGTGTTAAGCTGAAAACAACAGGAATGCCCATCAAGATGGGAATGGATAAATGAATGGCAGTTTTCACAGTGACGTATCACTGAACCAAGTGATCAAACTCCAAACACACAAAAAGAATTATATGGCAGATATGACAAATAGCAGACTGTGGGGTTCAACAGTCAAAACTGATCTATGCTGGGCCAGCCGAGTGGTTCAGTTGGTTCAGAGCTCGCTCAAGAGTGCAAGCATTGAGCAACAGGAACGTGGGTTCGATTCCCGGCCCAAGCTGAGCTGCTGATGAGCTGCCAACAGGTGGCAAGATGGCTCAGCTTAAAAAACAAACAAACAAACAAAAACCTGATCTATGTTTACAGGCTAAACAAGGGGACCTAGAGAAGGGACTACTGAGGGTGTGGAGATATTCTATATATAGGCCCAGGTGGTGGGTACAAAGGTTTATACATATGCAAAAATTCATCAAGCTGAACTCTTAAGATTTTGCACAATACAGCATGAGTTACACCTCATTCAAAAAGTACAAGAAACACATTTATACAATGGAGTATTACTCCGCTATAAAGAAGAATGAAATCGTACCATTTGGG